GGGGGGGCAGGGCAGGGGCAGGCTGGCAGCCGGGACACCCTTCCCGGCCGGCTCCTTCATTTGATCTTCAGATCCTTCAGCGCCGACTCCAGGCTCTAAAACGAAGCAGGAGGTCATTTTTTTCATCAGATTTTTGCTTTCTGAGGTGGTTGGGGAGCTGGAAGGGGGGGGCACAGCTCGGGGGGGGAGGAAAGCTGTCCCCTGGGGTGGCAGCCCGTCCCAGTTGGGGAGGAGATCCCACTTTTGGCTGGTTTTGGCTCATTTTTCAAGCCACGTGGGCAAAGCCAAAGCCAGGAGAGGGTGCTGGACCCCTGCATGAGGCTGGTGTCGACCCCCCCTCTGATGGTGGGCTGTCAAAGTGCCACCCAGGGGTGTCCCCCCACCCAGCCCTGGGCTAAGGAGATCCCACCCAGGACTGTGGGACCCCCCCGCCGTGGGCAGGATGGGCCCCACCACCACAGCAAAGAGCTGCGGAGCAGCCGGGATGGGGGTGGGGATTGCAATTAGGGCTGTGGCTAATGAGGGTTCGATGCTGGGTGCTGCCAGCGTGGGGGGGACCGTGGGGATGCCTCACCTTGACGTCCCAGATGCCCATGCCACCGTCCATCCCCGTGGTGCAGAACTGAGAGCAGTTGGCCTTCCCGCCCGCCAGCACCGAGATCTGGCTGTGGGTGCAAAGAGGTGTGGGGGGGTGTCAGTCCCCGGCCCCTGCCAAGCCCTCGGGGCTGCCCAGGAGTGGGGGGGGGGGGCAGTGGGGCTGGAGCCCTTCGCCTCCCCCACCCATGGGCCGGGATGCTCCAGGGAGCAGGGACACTGAGGGATGCTCCAGAGATGCCCAGGTCTGTCCCAGCTCCCGGGGCTGGAGCCCTCCATCTCCCCCACCCATGGGCAGGGATGGTCCAGGGATACCCAGGGAAGTTCAGGGATACCCAGGGATGCTCCAGGGATGCTCCGGGGCTGTTCCAGTTCCCAGGACCAGCCCCCTCCATCTCCCCCACCCATGGGATGCTTTGGGAATACCCAGGGATGCTCTGGGGCTGTTCCAGTACCCAGGGCTGGACCACTCCATCTCCCCCACCCATGGGCAGGGATGGTCCAGGGATACCCAGGGATGCTCCAGGATACCCAGGGATGCTGCAGGGATGCTCTCAGGCTGTTCCAGTTCCCAGGGCTGGACCCCTCCACCTTCCCCACCCATGGGCAGGGATGCTCTAGGGATACCCAGGGATATTCAGGGATGCTCCAGGGATGCCCATGGCTATCCCAGCTCCCGGGGATGGACCCCTCTATCTTCCCCATCCACACACAGAGATGCCCAGGGATGCTCCAGGGATACCCAGGGATGCTCCGGGGCTGTCCCCAGCTCCCAAACCAGACAGCAGCACATCCAGGGGATGCTCAGGACCCACCACCCCCAGGGTAGCTCAGCGCAGCTTGACCCCCACCCACCCACTCACACACCCCCCCCAGTACATGCCTGATGCTGTTCTTGTGCAGGGTGTCCAGCGTGGCGTTGGCGGTGTCCGAGCTGGCTTTCTTGTCCAGGTTCTGGAAGCGCTCACGAGCGGTGGGATGGACCCCTCTATCTTCCCCATCCACACGCAGAGATGCCCAGGGATGGTCCAGGGATACCCAGGGATGCTCCGGGGCTGTCCCCAGCTCCCAAACCAGACAGCAGCACATCCAGGGGATGCTCAGGACCCAACACCCCCAGGGTAGCTCAGCGCAGCTTGACCCCCACCCACCCACTCACACACCCCCCCCAGTACATGCCTGATGCTGTTCTTGTGCAGGGTGTCCAGCGTGGCGTTGGCGGTGTCCGAGCTGGCTTTCTTGTCCAGGTTCTGGAAGCGCTCACGAGCGGTGAGGCCGCGCTGGGAGCTCTGCTTGGGGACATCCAGCTTCCCCCCGAAGGTCAGTGTGCCCTGGCTCTCCTCGTAGGTGAACAGCATCGGGTAGCAGTCGTGGCCCTGGGGGAACCAGGCAGCCCTGCTCAGCACCCTCCCGCTGGCTCCCGGCAAGGTGCCCACCCCGTGTCCCCAGCCCGGACTCACCGCGGCCACCAGGCTGTTCTCGGTGATGAAGGTGACGGCCAGGAGGGGCAAGGTCTCAGTGCACAGGGAGGCCACGCTAGGATGGAAGACAGGGTGTTGTTGAGAGGGAGCTGAGCTTCAGCCTCTCTGTGCTGAGGCTTCCACAGTTGTGGAAGCCACAAGACTACCAGGAGAGGATGCACCACCTCCTCCATCCATGCCTGCCTGACCCAACCCAACCCAACCCAACCCAACCCAACCCAACCTAACCCAGATGTCTCCATCCCTGGGTGAGTTTTGGGGTCAACCCTCCCTGCCACCCTCAACACGGCCACCCCCAGCCCCCCCGAGTCTCCCCCTCTCCCCAGCCCTGCTTACGCCATCTTCTTGTTGGCATCGGCGAGGCAGAGGGTGCTGTCGTGGCTCACCCAGGCCACCCGGGTGCCGCTGGCCGAGAAGCAGATGCTGTGCACCCACCCGCAGCTGCTGCTCGACTCGAACATCAGCTCCCCAAAGGGCATCTTGGAGCCCCACGGCGTGGGGCTGGGACGCTCCTCCACCTCCTTGATGTAGGCTGAGAAGATCCTGGGGCAGGGAGGGGAGAGTTCTACCATGTGTCCTTGGACACTGGACACTGGGATGGTCCCCAGGGCATCCCCCAACCCTCCCTGCACCCTATCCCCAGTTCCCAGCAGCACTGGAGGGGTGAAGCCCATCCCACGGGTGACCCAGGGTGCTGGGCTGCCCCCCACACCTCTGTGCTGAGCCAGGGTTGGATTCCAACCCATCTTGGGGTATCCCTCAACTCGTACCCAGTCACCCACTCCCCCTCACCGGCATTTGAAGTCGCAGGAGCCGGCGGCCAGGAGGACGTTGTTGGGGTGCCAGTCCAGGCTGAGCACCGTCGAGCGGATGGGCTTCTTGATGTGCTTGCAAACCCACCTGTATGGAGAGAGTCTGGTGTCAGTGGGGGAGCATCACCACCCCAGGAACCCTTTCTGGGCTTTCAGTGGGGCTGGCTGAGGGTGGTCAGGGCTCCAAGTTTCCCGGGAGCTCCCCTGGGCCACCATCCTGCAGTAGCAGCTCGTGCATGGGGAGTACCTCCCTCCATCTCCCCATCTGTCTCCACCTCCTCCTCCAGCTTCTCTCTCTTTCTTCCATCTCATCCTGTCTCACCTTCAACTTCTCCAGTCTCCTACCTCCCAATCTGTCTGCCTTCTATCTTCCCCATCCACACGCAGAGATGCCCAGGGATGGTCCAGGGATACCCAGGGATGCTCCGGGGCTGTCCCCAGCTCCCAAACCAGACAGCAGCACATCCAGGGGATGCTCAGGACCCAACACCCCCAGGGTAGCTCAGCGCAGCTTGACCCCCACCCACCCACTCACACACCCCCCCCAGTACATGCCTGATGCTGTTCTTGTGCAGGGTGTCCAGCGTGGCGTTGGCGGTGTCCGAGCTGGCTTTCTTGTCCAGGTTCTGGAAGCGCTCACGAGCGGTGAGGCCGCGCTGGGAGCTCTGCTTGGGGACGTCCAGCTTCCCCCCGAAGGTCAGCGTGCCCTGGCTCTCCTCGTAGGTGAACAGCATCGGGTAGCAGTCGTGGCCCTGGGGGAACCAGGCAGCCCTGCTCAGCACCCTCCTGCTGGCTCCCAACAAGGTGCCCACCCCGTGTCCCCAGCCTGGACTCACCGCGGCCACCAGGCTGTTCTCGGTGATGAAGGTGACGGCCAGGAGGGGCAAGGTCTCAGTGCACAGGGAGGCCACGCTAGGATGGAAGACAAGGTGTTGTTGGGAGGGAGCTGAGCTTCAGCCTCTCTGCGCTGAGGCTTCCACAGTTGTGGAAGCCACAAGACTACCAGGAGAGGATGCACCACCTCCTCCATCCATGCCTGCTTGACCCAACCCAACCCAACCCAACCTAACCCAGATGTCTCCATCCCTGGGTGAGTTTTGGGGTCAACCCTCCCTGCCACCCTCAACACGGCCACCCCCAGCCCCCCCGAGTCTCCCCCTCTCCCCAGCCCTGCTTACGCCATCTTCTTGTTGGCATCGGCGAGGCAGAGGGTGCTGTCGTGGCTCACCCAGGCCACCCGGGTGCCGCTGGCCGAGAAGCAGATGCTGTGCACCCACCCGCAGCTGCTGCTCGACTCGAACATCAGCTCCCCAAAGGGCATCTTGGAGCCCCACGGCGTGGGGCTGGGACGCTCCTCCACCTCCTTGATGTAGGCTGAGAAGATCCTGGGGCAGGGAGGGGAGAGTTCTACCATGTGTCCTTGGACACTGGACACTGGGATGGTCCCCAGGGCATCCCCCAACCCTCCCTGCACCCTATCCCCAGTTCCCAGCAGCACTGGAGGGGTGAAGCCCATCCCACGGGTGACCCAGGGTGCTGGGCTGCCCCCCACACCTCTGTGCTGAGCCAGGGTTGGATTCCAACCCATCTTGGGGTATCCCTCAACTCGTACCCAGTCACCCACTCCCCCTCACCGGCATTTGAAGTCGCAGGAGCCGGCGGCCAGGAGGACGTTGTTGGGGTGCCAGTCCAGGCTGAGCACCGTCGAGCGGATGGGCTTCTTGATGTGCTTGCAAACCCACCTGTATGGAGAGAGTCTGGTGTCAGTGGGGGAGCATCACCACCCCAGGAACCCTTTCTGGGCTTTCAGTGGGGCTGGCTGAGGGTGGTCAGGGCTCCAAGTTTCCCGGGAGCTCCCCTGGGCCACCATCCTGCAGTAGCAGCTCGTGCATGGGGAGTACCTCCCTCCATCTCCCCATCTGTCTCCACCTCCTCCTCCAGCTTCTCTCTCTTTCTTCCATCTCATCCTGTCTCACCTTCAACTTCTCCAGTCTCCTACCTCCCAATCTGTCTGCCTTCCGTCTCCCCATCCATCCATCCATCCATCCATCTCCCCTCTACCTTTCTCCCCTCCATCTCGCCCAGGACAGACCCAGCAAGGCCATGGCAGAGCCTCACCAGTCGTTCTCCTGCTCAAAGTAGCAGATGGAGATGAGCCGGGAGCCGCTGCCCACAGCAAACTTGTTCTCCTTGGGTGACCACTTGACGCAGCGGGCAGCCCGGTTGATCCTCAGGATGACCAGGGTGGGTTTCCAGACATTGCCCTTCAGGGTCCAGACGTAGGCATTGCGGTCGGTCCCACATGTCACCAGCCGGTTGCTCTCAGGGGCCCAGTCAATGCCTGGAAGGGAGAAGGGGGTGATGGTGGCCCAAGGAGCCAAGCGGATGACTGACTCAGGGCTGGAGGCCATATGAAGGCAGAGCTGATCTGGGTGGTCTCTGCTCCAGAGTCCCTCTTTGTCCTACTCAAATCCATCTCAAATCATCCCATCCCACTCCATTTCATCCATCCATCCATCCCACCCCACCCCATCCATCTCAGCCCTTCCCACCCTATCCCTTTCCATCTATCCCATCCATCTCAACCCTGGTTGCCTTCTAACATGGTAGATCGGGTCCAGGAGAGGTAGACACACCCTGGTCCCTCTCCTCTACCCACTGCACAACCCCCATCCAGGAGCTGGCCACCCACCATCTATGTCCCCATCCTCTCCATCAGCCAGGACTCACCTGTCACTTGCCCGTTGTGCTCCTTCAGCTCGTGGACTTTGGTCCACTTGGCCCCGTCCTTGCGGTAGATGTGGACCTCATGGTTGTTGGGACAGAGGGCGATCTCTGTGGGGTGAGAACAGCCGGGGCAAAGCCCTCCCCTGGGTCATGGGGGTGGGGGGAACGGAACCAGCCCACATTGACCTCCCTGTTCTCCAGGCTCGGCAGGGCACGGTGGGACCCCACTGAGCCCCATCTTCACAGTGGCGTCCCACCAAGCCCCCCGAACTCAACTCCATGCTGCCCAGAAGAAGGGGGGGAAAACTGTCCCTATGGGGAAGGGAGAAGCTCCCCCAGACCTGAGAGCCCAGCATCCTCCCTTCCCCGGCGTGTGGTCCCGTGGGGCTGGTGGGATGGGATGGGACGGGATGGAATGGGACGGGACGGGACGGGATGGGATGGGACGGGATGGGATGGGACAGGACGGGACGGGATGGGACGGGATGGGATGGGACGGGACGGCTGGGGGTGCTCAGCTCCCGTCTGGCCCCGTCCTGCCCTGCCTGTCCCACACGCCGGCCCCAGCAGAGAAAGCCCTTTTTGTTCTCTCCCACATCCCCTGCTCCGCGGCCGGGAAATGCCATGGGCCGTGAATCACCCGGCCCCGCTCCCCTCTCCCCCCCAGCACTTTGCCAACCCCTCCCCGCGCCGGTGCCGCCGATGCCAGGGGCCCGGAGGCTGTGGCTCTGTCCCCGTGGTGGGACCATGAGGGACAAGTGCTGTCCCAGCCCCAAAATCTGTCGGTGGCAGGACCTGCCCCAAGCCCAGCCCCGACACCCAGCTCTGCCCCATCCCGGGGGAGCATCGCCCTCCACAGGGATGTTCAGCTGGGACGGTCGGTGCCTCAGGACATCCCTGGGGATTTTGGGATGGGGTGCCCGGGCCGTACTTACGGGTCCGGTCCTTGTTCCAGGCATGGCAGCTGATGGGCTCCAGATGGAAGCTGTGGTAGGCCATGGCTTGCAGGCTGGGGATGGGGAGAGACCCCCATGACCATCAGGAGATGCTGCTCTGGCCACGAGGACAAGTCCCCAGCAGGATCCCCTTGGTCCCAGCCCCACCGAGTATTCCCTCCCACCAGGATCAGCCCCACGTTGCTGCCAACTGAGTCCCTCCTCTGCTGGGGAAGGGGTTTCCCCAAGGATTTCCAAGCTCAGAATGTGCCCAAGCAAGGGGGAAGGGTGCCCCGGTGGGTCCAGCTTGGCAGGGGGTGAGGGAGGGTCTGGGTGGAGCTGGAGGAGACCCCTGTGGTGCTGCCCCATGGCCAGACACCCCATGCCAAGTGTCCTGTGGCTGGGCACCAGAGGAATGCCCACAGCTAGATGCCCATGGCTGGGTGCCCCATGGCCAGGTGGGCCAGCTGGCTGCCACATGGGTGTCCACATGGGTGTCCCATGGCTAGGTGGGAAGCAGGGACCTCTTCCACAGACTTCCAAACCACACCATCATCCTGCCCCAGCCTGCTGGAACCTGGTGGGCAGGAGCCAGTCAGGCACACGCGGTGCCAGCACCACCAGCCCCACACACATCCCAGGGATCCCTCCATGGGCACCACCTCCTCCCTCAGGCTGCTCCTGCCAGCTCCGTGGGGCCAGGTCTGCTTGTTCCTTCCCCGCCTCTCATTGAGGAAGAGCCAAAAACCCCGTGGAGGCACCTCCATCCCTTTCCATCTCATCCTGTTCTGTCCCATCCCATCCCATCCCATCCCATCCCATCCCACGTGTGCTCAGCCCCACGAGCCGGTGACTAATCCCTTCCCCTGGCTGAGCTCATGGAAGCTCCTGCCAGCGCCCACCGGCTGCTCCGGTGCCGTGGGATGGGGCTCCCTCCTCCAAACCCACTCCGGGTGCCAGGTTGGGGGGCCAGGAAGGGCTGGGAGCAGCAGTGCAGCCCCTGGACCATCCGGCCAAAGTAAGGCAGGGATGTAGGAAAGCAGGAAAACACCTCGCCAGGGCGTGAGGGACCGGGGGGATTACTCACAGTTTGCCTCTGGGCTATTTTTGGGAACTCCCTGGTTTTCTTTGGCAGCTAAAAAGGGTACAGGGGAAGGAAAAAAGTTCCCTCCTAGAAAACCTCCATCCCCAGGGCTGGTGAAAAGACAATCTGTGGAGCTCCATCCCCTGCTTTTGGCGGGAGGAGAAACCCCAATTGCTGCCGCACGGTGTCACACACCCCGCTGTCACACACCCCACTGTCACCCACCCCACTGTCACACACCCCACTTCTGAGCCCACACTGAAGCTCCGGTCCCCACCGGCCGAGGACACGGCCACGGACACGGCCGAGCTGCTGCCCACCCCCCAGCCCCACCGATCCTGCCGGGGCTCAGCACCGGGTGACCCCCGGGAGGGTACAAAGCTGCTGCCACCACGTCCCTCTGCCCCGAGCCCTGCGGCTGGAGCTGCAGAAAAAAAAGCAGTGAATAAAATTAGCAGGAGGGGACGCTGCGGTCGGTGTCGCAAAAGATGAGGAGCAGAAAAGAGTGTGAAATTGGGACCTGGGTGAAATGGGGACCTGGGTGACACAGGGACCTGGGTGTCACAGCTCCTGGGGAGGAGGGATGGGAGGCAGGGCACACCACGGAGCTTTCCAACTTCAATTCTCTCCATGAAAACAGAGATACTTGGTTTGTTTGTTGTTTTAATTTGGGTTGGATGCTCAGAGACCCAGACCCTCCTCCCTGGGGGGGGTTTCTTGCTGCTCACCCCTTTAACGCCGGCCCCCGAGGTGCTGGGGAGCAGAAGCCACCCTGGGGCTGCGGGGGGAGCTGGGAGAGAAGCCAAGGGCTGCTCGGCCCGTCCAAGCCCCCACCGCCCCCCACAGCAGTTTGGGGCTCATTTCCCCACCAGCCCCTTTAGGGGCCGAGCCGAGCTCCCTCCCAGGGTGGAAGGAGCCGTGGGGTGACCCACGGGGGAGCTCATCAACCCCTTCCCCAACAGGGAAGAGCATCGGAGGGGGCTGTGGCCATCCTCCCCTCCTGGTCGCCACGGAGGCTTTTGAGGGAGGAAAATGGGCATTTCCAGCTGGCCAGACAGGGTGGGACGGGGACCCGAGGCAGCTCCGTTATCTCCCCGGCCAGCCCCGAGGCGCCGAGCGGTTCGGAAACATCCTTGGAGGAGATAACCAAACCTTGGCAGGAGCCGAGCGCTGGGGGCTCCTCCCGGCCCCAGGAGGAAGCTGTGCGCCGGAGGAGCTGTATTTTCAGTTTGGCTGAGCCTGGGGGGGACGGCGGGAGGTGGGTTTGTGCCCCCTGCCACAGGGACGCACTGAGGGTCCCACCAGGAGCCACAGGACCCCAGGAAGCTGTCCCCCGGCCACCGTGGTGGCCCTGTCCTCCTGCGCTGCTGAAAGGCTGGCACCGACCCCCAGGAGCCCCTCTGGGGTTCCCCGTGGTGGCTGCAGGATGTCACCCCCCCTGTGCTCCTGCCAGCCAGGCTGGGGACAGGTCTCCAGCCCCACTGGTGTGGGGTACCCCGGGAGCCAGCCTGGCCCTGGGGGGACATCGCTGCCCCGGGGCGGATGAAGGGCGGCTCTCACCCTCTTCCTCATCGCGCTGGATGAAGCTGGAGGCAGCTGATGCCCGAGGAGGAGAGAACAGACCTCAGGCAGCGTGGGCTCTGCTGGCACCGACCCCCACGGGACCCCCACCCCGGGACCCTTTCCAACACCCCGCAGCAAGAGAGTAAAACTCAAACTCGCTGCCAAAGCCAGAAGAGGCGGGGGAAATAATAATAGTAATAAAAAGCCCCAAACCCAGCAAAAGCAAAACCCACAAGCAGCCAGGCACTGCCTGCACCCCCCTGGGACCCCAGAGCAGCCCTGGTTGGGGGGGTCCCCATCTCCCCTCGAGCAGGGTGTGAACATCGGGGAAGCGACGGCCACAGCCCCCCCGGGGGGACAGCCCCAGGTTGTCACCGGGGGGGGGTCCAAAGCTGCCTCCCCCCTCTCCTTACCTTTGCTGGGCAGCGCGGGCAGGGCTAGTTCATGGACTCTGGGCAGTCGACACGAACGGCAGCCCCGGAGCGAGCTGCTGGCCGCCCCGCCGAGGCAGCCCCACTTCCCTTTTCCTCTCCGAGAAATGCAACCACTTCCTTACGTGGGCGTTGGGGGAGCGCAGAGCAGCTCGGCGGCCGCCCTGCCCCTGCCTGCCTGCCTGCCAGGCCTCTCCGCCATCCCCACACGTGGACGGATGGGCCACCAGCCCCCGGGATGCTCCCGGTGGCCCCCGTCGCTCGGCGGGATGCGGGCAACTCGCCCCGGGAAGGATGGAGCTGGGAGAGCGGAGGGAAGGAGCTCCATCCTCTCCCTCTGGCCGCAGCAGGGTTGTTCATCCCCCCGTCCCTGAGGTGTTTTGGGGGGACGGAGGCAGCGGGGAGGTCCTGCCCACCCGTGATGGCCCACAGCAGGCAATAAATGCAGCCAGAGCCCACCCGGGGTGAGACACACGGCGGCGTCGCCTCCCACAGCCGGGGGGATTCACAGCTCGGCAGGACCCCGCGGTGCCTGGATCCGGCCGCCCCAAGGAGCATCTGCTGCTGGTTCCTGCATCCCACTGAGCCCTGTGGGACCCCAGCCCAGGCTGGTGGCAGTCACGGCTGGGTGTATGTACCCCCCGCTACCAGACCTGCACCCCTCTTTTTTTTTTTTTCTCCCTTCTTGCTTCAAAGCAACTCATTTTTATCCCTTTCCCAGCTGGGCAGGGGAACTCCCAGGGGCTCAGCTCCTGCTGGAAGCACTGTGAAGGTGAGATGGGCTTCATCTCCTCGCTTCCCCGGCTGCAGCCACCCTGGGAGGGATGTCCTCACCCCTCCTCTCCCCGAGAACCATCACAGAAGTGGGACAGCAGCTCATGGGGGTGGAGGATGTGGGTAGAATCATAGAATCATTGAGGTTGGAAGAGACCCTTGGGATCATCGAGTCCAACCATCTCCCCTACTCTACAAAGTCCTCCCCTACACCATGTCCCTCAGTACCGCATCTAAACGTCCCTTAAACACAGCCAGGGATGGTGACTCAACCCCCTCCCTGGGCAGCCTGTTCCAATGCCCGACCACTCTTTCTGTGAAAAATTCCTTCCTAATGTTCAGTCTAAACCTCCCCTGTTGGAGCTTGAAGCCGTTCCCTCTTGTTCTGTCATTAATTACCTGTGAGAAGAGACCAGCCCCAACCTCTCTACAGTGTCCTTTCAAGTAGTTGTAGAGAGTGATGAGGTGTCCCCTCAGCCTCCTCTTCCTCATACTAAACAGCCCCAGCTCCTTCAGCCGCTCTTCATATGATTTGTCTTCCAGGCCCTTCACTAGTTTCGTTGCCCTCAAACAGGGTACAAAAGGGTACAATAACCTTGTGCTCGTTGAGCTGCAGAATTAATCCCCAAATTAGGGGTCAGCTGTAGGTAACGGCTCTGGGGGTGGCACGGAGTGGGCAGCTCATCTCTCCCTTGGTCCCGGAGTCCATCAGCCACGTCTCCCTCCAAGCACGTTGCCATGGTCCCATGCAGAGATCCTGAGACATCCCCAGAGGGTGGTGGATCTCCATGGGTCTGGCCAGGAGTGAATCCCACTGGTAGGAAAAGTCCCTCCAGGATGCAGCGAGCTGCCCCGTCCTCTGGCACCAGTTTGCCCATTGCAGCACCCAGCTCACCCCAGCATCGCTGCCACCCCAAGTGTGGCAGGAGGGGCAGGGCTCACACCACAGCTCCCACGCGGCTGAAAACTGGGTTTTTTTGAAGTTTTTCCTGCTGCTAGTACATTTTCTCTAGTCCTCCTTGGGTTATGAGATGCTCTGCCTCTTCACCAGGAAAGTTCAGGCTTTCCAGGTGTCCCACCATTGCCTCCTGCACCAAAACCAGGAGGACACAAGATCGACCATCCCTCTGCCCGTCCCTTCCCACCAGACAACTTCCAGGGGGGGTGTGGAGGAAGGATGGGTCAAGTTTAACATCTGCAGCAGGAATGGGGGTGTGTTGGTCAGA